ACACCCGGCATTTCATCAGCCGACTATTTTTATTAAAATAAAAATAGTTTGGGTACCTAGGTCAACTCAGCCTTAAATGAGTACTTGGGATTCACAATCCTGAGGTAATAATAGGCGGTTGAAGCGTAGTGCTAGCCACATTACCTTCCTTGTATACCGAACGGCTCTAGTATAGCAAGCTGTACCTTGCTACTCCCAAGGCGTTAAACGGTATATACGGGAGCTATTATTATTATTATTATTTAAAAAAAATAAAGATGTAAATAAAAATAAGCTGTTTCCTCTCGGAAACGGTAAGTAGCTATTCGACCAGTGAAACCTCTACGGACAGAGCTAGTGGAGCTCTATATTCGCCCCATGTAAACAGTCTTTCGAAAATGCCCAGTTTCTGAGATATTTCGTTTTAAAGATATTATAATTTCGATTGTCGATTTTCTGGATATACCCCTTTGAAAAAAATCGAATTTTTTATTTATTAAAAAATTCTACAAACTTCACCTGGTACGGCTAGAAGACGTCAATGTAAGAATTCTAAATTCAATTTGACCCCGTTTAAAAAAAAAATGCCGAAAGTGAAAAAAATCAGTTTTTATTTTTTTTTCTCCCCCTGTATGTACATTTTTAACAAACTGTGGATACTAAAAAAATTTAACTAATCGATCTGCATCGTTCCACGCCCAAAAATCTTTCAAATCGGAATAAGTACAAAAAGCTCGATTTTTGTCGGGAAAATTTTTCGAAACACAGTTTAAATCGAGCGATTAACTACTTTAGCACTGGTCGTTTAGCTACTTACCGTTTCCGAGATATTTGTGTTTTTCGATATTGGTAAAATGTCAACTTTAAATCGTTTTGTACGAGTCCTTATGAAAATCTAAAAAACGAAAAATGGCCATAAGGGGACGCCATCAGTCGTGTATCCGACTGTGAATAAATGGTTTCTCCGACTGTGAATAAATGGAAAAATGGTATTATCGCTAAGGGTAAAAAAAACAGAAAAATGAATAATCTTTAGCAAAGTGGGTATGTAATTACTTGAATGTACCTAAACACTATGTCGTCTTATTTTATTCTGTATATCAAATTAAATTAACAAAAATCTAACACAAATTATACTGACTTGCTTTGTATGTCTATAAGTGTATTTAATAAAATCCATTACGGTTATCCCTTTGAATGATTTAATAAATGTTTTCTTCTAAAACCTTTTTCATGAATATTTTCATCGATAAATTTTCTTTATAACAAGCAGAAATATCAGAATGCATTATCAAGTCAATTTTTCCAGAAATCAAGTTCAATCGAAGTGTATTATAGTTCAATTCCATAGGAAATAGACTGAAATAATTGCGTTTCGATAAAATTACTCGGCAAAGTTGGATTTTAAAATCGCAGTGCTATTATATTCGCGCTTGCACGAAAATTTCCTCGAGTAGACACGTAAATAATGTCTAATTAGATATCGATTTAATTACGCAGTAATTTGGGTCCCCTAATTCTATTGGCCCTGACGATATTTAAAATTAATTTACTGCGAAAGATCGGGAAAGTTGCAGGAATCGCCGGAAAAATCTTTTCAGCTTCATTAAAAATATAATCGAGCGTCCGTTAATTGTTCTTTAGGTTAATTCTGTCAACTGAAAACAATAAAACTTAATTAAAAATCGACAATGTGCCACAACATAGATTAAATTCTTCTAGTTTTTATAGAAAATTTAATAAAAATTATTTTTCAAAAGAATTTATCTTCTGCGCCAGAGTAATTTGAATATTAACCAAACATTTTTTAAAAAACAAAAAACTGGTAAAACAAATAACTGGTAGTTTAAAACAATTTTTATATAAAGGGTATATATACTGTATTCCGGAAACTTCGGCAGCATATTTTACTGGTAAAAATAGGTAAAAAATTTATATAAATGTATGTCCTAAAATGGGCTTAGTTTCAGAGATACAGGGTGTAGAAGTTTCATTTTTATTTCAATTTTTTCCAAATAATTTCTGAAGTAATGTCAATATTTGGATGAAAATTGGCGTCTGGGAGTTTTTTAAAGTGAGAAATTTGATTTTGATGTCAATATGACTCCTATTTGCAGGAGGCGCCACCTATATGCGTTTTAACTGTTTTGAAAAGTAATAACTTCTTGTCCATACCTATATAAAACTACTTACTGAAAAAATATACATTTCCGTGATTTTCTACGTAAAAATGTCTCTTGGTAAGAATCGCTACGAGCAACCTTTCTCAAGATATTTAGAATAAAAATAGTCAATACAAATGTCATTATTGACTAAAAATAAACATGTTGAGCAGATAGTAATTTAACTGAAATGGGAAATTTAGGAACTTTTTCTTCGAAAAAATGATGATAAAACAGTTTCTGTTGAACTTTTGGCACAAAAATATTTCAAATTTATGATTTCAGTCTAATATCTATTTAGTCAACATGTTTAATATATGTCCATGATGGCAGGTATTGGTAATTTCGATTCCAAATATCTCGAGAACCATTAGTCGTAGCGCTTTTACCACGAGACCTTTTTTACGTAAAAAATGTCGTAAATGTGTATTTTTTAACTCACTAGTTTTATACAGGTACGGACGAAAAATCATTACCCTTCAAACCACTTAAAAAATATGTAGGTGACACCCTCTACAAGTAGGAGCCATATTGACAACAAAATCAAATTTCACACCAATTTTCATCCAAATAATTTCTGAAGTAACGTCAATATTTGGATGAAAATTGGCGTCTGGTGGTTTTTTGAAGTGAGAAATTTGATTTTGATGTCAATATGACTCCTATTTGTAGGGGGCGCTACCTATATGCGTTTTAACTGTTTTGAAAAGTAATAATACCTATATAAAACTACTGAGTGAAAAAATATACATTTCCGTGATTTTGTACGTAAAAAATGTCTCTTGGTAAAAATCGCTACGAGCAACCTTTCTCAAGATATTTAGAATAAAAATAGTCAATACAAATGTCATTATTGATTAAAAATAAATATGTTGAGCAGATATAGTTATTTAACTGAAGTGAGAAATTTGAAAACTTCTTATTTTTTTAAACTAATCATAAATTTTTCTTCGAAAAATTATGATAACCAGTTTCTGTTGAACTTTTGGCACAAAAACATTTCAAATTTATGATTTCAGTTTAATAACTATTTAGTCAACATGTTTAATTTTTGTCAATGATGACAGGTATTGGTAATTTCGATTCCAAATATCTCGAGAACCATTTGTTGTAACGATTTTTACCAAAACACCTTTTTACGTAAAAAATATCGTAAATGTATATTTTTTAACTCACTAGTTTTATACAGGTACGGACGAAAAATCATTACTCTTCAAACCAGCTAAAATTATGTAGGTGGCGCCCTCTACAAGTAGGAGTCATATTGACAACAAAATCAAATTTCTTAAGTCAAAAAACTCCCAGACACCAATTTTCATCCAAATATTGACGTTACTTAAAAATTATTTGAAAAAAATCGAAATAAAATTGAAACTTCAACACCCTGTATCTCCGAAACTAATTATTTTTGGGGCATACATTTATATGAACTTTTTTACTTATTTTTACCTGCAGAATATGCTGCGTAATACAGTTCGGACCACCCTGTATAAGTTAATTAAAATATAAGCTTATACAAGGTAAATCACGACGATGGCACGTTAGAAGTTTATGGTGATAGGATTTTTTTTAAAATGTGGATTTTTGTATAAAGGCACCTACTCCATTTGTCTAAATTATTTTCAGCCTTACAGTGTTGCCGCTTGAAACTAAAAGTAGTAGCATCTTTATTAATTTAAATGGAACACCCGGTATATTATTAGATTTTTCGAAACTACTTTCGTGTCTCCATAATTTTTCTATTATATTCACCTATACCTATTGCTGATTGGTTTTAGAAATAAAAAATTAAACGTGTAAAATTGACAAAAACATGATCTTATGACTATATTGAAAGCTGAAATTGGGTTTATAGGTTAAGGGAAGTCGGCATATCCAAGCTATCTAAATCAACCGATTGGTTATCAAACAGGGAGGTCAGAAAAAATAATTATTTCCGTGTTATAAAATTACTCAAATGTTTGTTATTTTAAATTCAACTCTATGAATATAATTTATCAAAACCCAAATAAAACAGCTATTCAACAAGATATCATGTTCCTGTACCTAAAACTTCTGGTTTCTTCAGTAAAGTCATTTACAAAATAATAATTCAATTATAATTGTTTCGTTTAAAGAAAATCGTTGCCATGACAAATATTCAAACTTTATAAGTATCAATTATTAGAATTTACGTGCTAAATTTCTAAAATTGTCATGGTAACAAAATTCTTGAAATGAAACTATAATAATAGAATTATTAATTTTTAAATAGCTCTACTTAAGAAACTGAAAGGTTTAGGTATAGGAATATGTTATATCGTTGAAAAGCAATTTTATTAGTCTTTTGATTTTTTGAATAATATTCATAAGGTTGAATTTAAAATAACAAAGATTTTAGTTTTTCTTATAAAAAACGGAAATAAATAATATTTTTGCTCTCTCTCTCTCTGTGTAATATCCAATTGGTTTATTTAGGGAGATTGAATACATTGACTTTCGTTAACTTATAAATGTTTAATTCATGATTTTAGCAATGCTTATTCACGATCATGTTTTTGTCAATTTTACGCATGTTTTTTTTTATCCTAAAAACTATAAAACTATAGGTTAGTATAATAGAAAAATAATGAGATATGAAAGTAGTTTCCAAAAATGTAATAATATACCGGGTATATCATTTAAAATAAGAAAGATGCGACCACTTTTCAAAGATGCGGCAACATTGTAACGCTGAAAATATTTTAGATAGATGCAGGTGCCTTTATTTAAAAATACAAATTTTCAAAAAAAATCTATCACCGGTCCTCCATAATCATCTAACGTGTCATCACCCTAATTACAAGTTAAGAAGCTAAGAAGTTAATTGTTTTCACTTACCTGTATTGTCTGGTGGTCCCTTAAAAGCTTCTTCACGCAGTTGTAAATAAACGTAAAGAACATCCCTGTCAGAATGAGCGAAAAAATAACCATAATTATTACAATATGGTCATCAGTGAGTGCCCAGGATTCACTACCCTAAAACCAACAAAAATTATTATGTTTAAAAAAATAATTACAATAAAAAATTTTATATAAAAAGTCAAAACACACTTCAAACCAAATACAGCTCATTTATTTAGTTTATAATACAATATTAATTCAATTTTCAAAATATTTGTTAAAATCATATCACCATATGATTGTTAGTTGGCGATCAAAAATTTGGAATCCAAATTTCATATTTTACCACGTTCTTTGCAAAATATAGAAAACGTTTCTATACTAAGAATGGCTTTAGTAATAAATCAATACTATAAAGATTTTTCCAAAATTATGTAGCATGAAAAATGTTGGCAGCATTACAAGAAGAGGGTTTCAGTAAAAAGACGTTAAAAATGCTGTTAGCATTGTAAAAGTCAATTTGATTTCAATATCATAATAGTTGTTTCTATGATTCACACTTCATTATAATTCCTTAATAGATTTATTTTTTAGTATTTTTGTTTATTAAAACGTCCGATTAAAACGAAACACATTATAGTATATAGGGGGTCCCAAGCTGTGCGTGTATTAGAAATTTCTAGAGAACTACAATATCTGGATCGGAGATTTTATGCACATCATTGTTTCACAATAAGATCCATCCATTAAAAATATTTTCAATATGGTGACACTTCTGGAAATACCAGAAGGTGACAGCAACTTTCTTATTCTAACGGACATCCAATTTTTTATTACATATTTAAATTCTATGTAACATTTTATGAAATTTGATATCAACAGTCGATCCCTAATATTAACCATTTTTGAGAAGAAAAAAAATAAAAATATTAAACATTTTTTGGAGGAATAAACTGCCTGTCAAATGAAATTGCATAGCCTAAACTTTAAATTTAGTGATTACCACAGCCACTGTGATATAAAGAGAAAACATGTAGCTATGTATTTCAAAAGTTAAATTATTTGAATGTCATATAGGGTTAGTTGGGGTAATGGTAAACGATTTAACAAAAATAATTTTAACAAGGTATAACTTTGAAACTTTGACGTTTGCACTGAAAATTCTAAAAGGGTATATTTTAAGACACTTTACTTAGTAGGTGCTTTGATGGACAGCTAGAAATTTGCACTAGGTTCCAAAAAAAACTTATTTACATTTACCCCATAGGAAAATGAAATATTGTCCTATTTTGGGGTAAATGTAAACATATTTTTTAAACGGGCTAATAATGAACCAAGAACTATACAAGTTTGTTTTTAGTTGGGTTATAAGTTTATCAATGCGTTTAATTGTTTACAATTTTCCCCTTGGAGACAAAATAAAATATTTTGTTATAAAGACACATTATTTATTAGGTACTGTTTCATCAAAAGTGTACAAAAAATATTAAGGTTCCTCAAAAAACAACTATCTTTCCCGAAAACGAATATTATATTCCTTCCTATAAACCTAACCAATGCATTTTTAACGTTTCTGTTTTTTTGGTCTTTTTCATATCTGTCTTGGCGCATATCAGTGTTAATACGTGTTTACTATTACCCCAAAATCAAGTTTACAATTGCCCCGAAATCCAATTTTACTGGGGCATTTGTAAACACCTCTATACTTCATTTCCCGTAAAAGTTAATCTCAAATTCTAACATGCATTTTACTAAAAGAACACTAAATGAGACTACTATGTATATAAATTATCTTAACTTATTCACAAATTGAAATTTTTAAACAAAATTTCGATTTCGAAGGTATAAAACATTTTACAAGTTTTAAAGCAGCTCTCCAAAAAAATGTTTTTGCACCATAAACAAATAGTACTAGAAACTCATTTAATCGAGTCAATACACATCAAAGATGTGAGCGCCACTGTAGCCAGTCGACTTGTTCCCTACCAGCCAAATTCAAAAGTTATTGGACCTGTTTACAATTGCCCCTGTTTACCATTACCCTAACTAGCATAGTGTGAAAATTTTGCCAAAAAAATCTTATAAATCATTTTTTTCAAATGGAAACCCAATGTTTGATTTGATTAACATTTCGTTTTTACTTGTAAAAAATATTTCACCAGTCAGTGAAAAGGTTTTTTAATTATTAGCGAAACGGGCGTCCAGTGTAATTGTGGTGATTTAGTGTTTTATTTTTAAGCCACGTCTTCTCTTTATGTCACAGTGACTGTGGTAATCACTAAATTTGACGTTTAGGCTATACAAATATTTAGCACAGGTAGTTTTTTTCCTCCAAAAATGTTAAATATTTTTTTCTCAAAAACGGTTAATGTTAGGTATGGAGTATTTGAAATCAAAATTTATCAATTTTTCTAAAAAAATTAAATATGTAAGAAAAATGGGGGTTCCCATTTAAAATAAGAAAGTTGTTGTCATATTAAAAATATTTTTAATCGATAGATCGGTGGTTTTATGGCAAAAGGTGCTATGTCAAAATCTTATTGCGATGTTATTGTAACACGAAAAACTTGTTTTGGCCAAAATTTCGAATTCCATAAAAATCTTGGGTTAAATTGCCAAATATGATTTTTATGGATCATCCAACTTATTGCCATATTATATGTAACAAGAAAAACGCCAAAGTTTCGACATAGGACCTTTTGCCATAAAATCACCGAGATATTTTTGTGAAACAATAATGTGCAAAAATCTCCGATCTAAGGCACGCTCAGCCTGGGACACCCTGTATATTATAATCCGATTAGAATAAACTAAACGATTCTAAATAGCATGTAGGTATGATATTACTATTTATAAAATTATATCTTCTTATTTTTTAATGACATTAAAGTATACTGATCTTATTTCAGGAAATCATCTAGATTACTCAAAAAAAGATGAAGCATATGTTTTATATAAACCAGCTGGTAAAAAAAGATCGTCTATTTTCAATGGATTTTCTAAGATGGATATTCTCGTTGGATAGTATCCAACTACATTTTTTTAATCCAATCAATCATTTTCTGAAAAGAAATGCGGAAAAGTAATTAAATTAAAAGAGTGATTAATCTAAGAAAATGTCGGTTTAGAACTAGAGCTAAGCTGAATTTATATTGCTTTCTTTGAACTTTCTATGAAGTTTTAAAACAATATTTTATAAAAGTTTATTTAATGAGTGTTTAGATAGGTCTTTTGTTGAATTATTTTCAGACAGTATCTTTTTATATAGGGTATTTCTGAGGAAATATTTATGTTTTATATAAATATTTTCTGTCAGGTTCACTGCTTACTATCACCATAGAAAGTAATTGTCGACAATTACCTTGTTCTTAGAGTACAAAGTGTCTCATTTTGGTTGAAATCATACGGAAAAATTGTTGAAATCTCCGTTATTATTATTAGTAGAGATAGGAAGATGCGGTTTGCACAAACCTGTCCCACTTTTTTGTCAAACGGAATAAGCTGTAAACAAAATTTTCATAGCCCTCTTGGTTTCTAAGCTACAGAGTCTTTTCAAAAATTTAGTAATTTGGGACAGCCGAATATACAGTCGAGAAAGTGAATTCTTGTAGAAATTTTTACGTAGAATACAGGGGCGTAGTCTGTTATTCTACGAAAATAATATTTTTGAAAATATAAACTAAAGTTATGTTTTTTTCAAATGGAACACCCTGTATATTTATAAATCACATGATCCGTCTTGCTTTTCAAAAAGCTTCTCAAAAATATATATCACTCTATATTTATTTTCCCTATTTACTGCAATATTTAAAATATACCCTTCATATACCCCATCATATGGGTACATTGGTTCCAATTCATTGATTCGAGAAATAATAATTTAACAAAATTCTAAATTTTCAAAGTTGTGAGGGTGAGCTCCATCTGGCTGTAGTATTATTAGTAGCTCCCAAAATAAAACAAGAGACAGACAGCAGTATACTTTTAATAATTCTTTAGTTTCTTTTATTATCAATCATGGCCTACTAATAAATATGATCTTTTAATAAAACATTTTAAATATTGCAGGAAATAGTGAAAATAAATATAGTGATATATGTATATTTCTGAGAAGCTTATGGCAAGACGGATCATATGATTTATTAATATACAGGGTTAGAAAGAAAAAAAACATAAAAATAAACAGTTTTCACAATCTCGATACCTTTAACAAAACCAGAGATAAACGGGGTGTCCCACATTGCAAACTTTTCAAAAAGACCCTGTAGCTCAGAAACGAAGAGGGCTATGAAAATTTTGTTTACGGGATCTTCCGTTTAACAAAAAAGTGGATTAGGTTTGTGCAAACCGCATCCTTCTATCTTCACAAATAACGGAGATACCGTATGATTTTAAACAAAATGAGGTACCCCGTACATAATATACCCACTATTGTTTCTGTGCTACATTAAATAAAACTACAATCTTTAATAACATAATTTAAATCTTGTATATTCATACCAAACCCCTTTTAGCATGCATAACATATTGTTACAAGCCAGCTCTAACATAAATATTCCAGCTTTTTGTAGTTTGTGGGGGATAAGTTATTTCGACGCGATGTAAGACATTGTTTGTATGCACACTTTCGCAGAATTTAAAGTTTTCCGACTCTCGTGGTTTTTCCGCTTTCTTCGAACAAGGCAAAGATTAGACGTTACGACGATGTTGGAAAAACTTACAAACTCTTGGACGTTTTGTGACATTACGATATGTACGCTGACGGAAAGTCAGATAACGTAAAGACTTACTTTTTGGATACGGAAAATTGATTCTTACAGTGTATGCCGTAATTTACCAGGAACAGTTTAACTTTGTCTAAATTGTTTTTAGCTTAGTGATATTCAAAAGTAAGCAAAACAGTATTCACAATAGAGTGCTACCAAAGGAGTTTTGATATTATATCGAATTTGTAGTTTCGTTTGAAATAATTTCAAAATATTAGTTAATCCGATTGGATTGAAAAATTCTGTGTCATTGACATTCTGTATACTAAAAAGATTCTACTCAAATAAAACTAATACATTTTTCTTAAATTCTGGAGCATATAAATATGGGAACATTATCTACGAGAATATATTACTTCAAAATATTCT